GTAAGTTAAGAAATTCAAAGTTCAGTGCTGTCAGATTTTTTTTTCTCATACATGTTAATTGAAATATTTGAGTAAGCTAACTCATGCATTTTGATCACACTTAAAATTATCATTATTTTTAGTAGTAGAAACATAACTAGCTTTAACTAGCTAATTCAGTAAATTCTAACATGCTACTTGGTAACAATGATTTGATTAACAGCAATTGCTGAATGAATAAGGCAACATAGAAAACTGAACATATACCTGTTGTCAAACTAAGCTCATGCTTCTAAATTAGCATAGCAAAACATCAGACACTACTAAAATCTCTCACTTAACTTTACTCTTGCACAAATCCCTAACAGAGTTTGGGTTCAATTTAAGTTTCTCTAAATTAAAAGAAACAAGTTTATTAAACTCAAAACAATGAAACAGTTCAGATTACTTCAAATGTGTCAGTTTCATGAAGAAAAAGAAAGTTCTAAATAATCATGAAAGTTAATTTGTTTAATTTAAGTTTGCCCTACTCAAACCAATTAAATATTGTGAGCATTAAGGTTTACAGTGTACTATTGTATTGTTGTTGTGTTTTTAAGAATAATAATGAATCAACCATTTTCAAGCATTCGTTTTGTGAAAGATGTCTTGTAAAATGTGTGGTGTAATCTGTAATATCGATGTTGTCACAAGTTTATTAATCTGTGGGAAAATTTTCTCACCATTGCATCCCTAGCTTCAAACGATTAAAATGACTTTCTAACACCATCACATAGTGATCGCAGTCTGGCTTCTAACTTTAAATGAACTTAGAAGGCAATGAAATGAAATTTATAGTGTTCTCTTTGACCCCCTTCAAAGTTGATGTATTCACGTGGTGCACTGGTGGATCTGCTCATCAAATCTAATGTGAGCCGTTATGCGGAGTTCAAGAACATCGGCCGCATCCTCACCTATAGTAATGGAAAAGTGGAGCAGGTATGGAGCTGATCTTTTTCAGTGAATCCTATTAACAGGATCAAATAAATGTAAAAATGCTCAAAAGGACAATTGATATTTAGCATTAACTGACATTTTTGACATGCGACCATTTTTCCAAACTGCTTGTCCTATGTAGGGTCGCAATGATTATTATATTTTATTTTATTTTTCCTTCCCAATCCAAAATTCTGAGTACTTCATGTCTTCCTCATGACTGCATTATATTTTAGGTCTAATATGAAGCTTCCTGATTCAAAATTATTAGAGCAGTTCAGCTAAGATAAAACGATTAAATTGATTTGCTGCTTGATTTATCCATTTCTATTTGCTAATATACTTGATAAGAGCATTGACGCAAAAGGTGTTTCTCATTTCACTAAAAATATTAAATGCAGCATTGTAATGCACAATCCATCTGTGTGAGTAATTTAGGGCTAAAGGTAAGCCGTTTTCTCGCAATTGTTACTTCCTCCTCTTTACTGATTGTGTGTAATATGTATATTTGTGTATGCATGTCAGTACTTTAACCTGCGATGTCTTGTTTCTTCCTCCCCTGAAGGTCCCGTGTTCACGGGCAGATGTGTTTGCCAGTAAGCAGCTGACTGTGGTTGAGAAACGCATGCTGATGAAGTTTCTTACCTTCTGTCTGGACTTTGAGCAGCACCCAGAGGAGTACCAGGGTATGACCCCATGTGTTTGTTTCCCTGCAGCTCTCTGATTTACATGGAACATCAGAGATCTATCGCAGATGTTTACTGTAGATTTCAGGTCAGAATAGAAATCTCTGTGAAGTAGAGAATGAACTTTTTTCACTTTCTTAATGAATGTTCTTTGTCTTATTGTGCACAATTAATCAGTGCATGTTATTTTAAAGAAAAAATATTTCAAATATTTTCTGCAAAAGTTAATACATTTCTTTGCCTACTACCCAAGCAAGGCTGTGTGTGCAAGGGAAATATTATTAACCAATAATATCATAGCCTAACATCCACGATCCAATCAAATGTCAGTGCATTAAATCAAGCACCACCTTACATTATTTCCCTCTAAATATTCATCACAATGTCACACGAATTTGAATGAAAAATGATAGATTATAGATAATATACATACACATTTTCAGAAAAGTGATTAAGAAAACTACAGAAAATAAAAACACTGAAAGTCCCTTTTGATCTATAATTTGTATTAATTAGAAAAAGGATTAAAATGTCATGTAAATTGAAACTAAATAAAAAAAAAAAAAGTAATTTTTTTTTTAATATTTTATTTTAAATTTTTAATCCAAGCAAAAATTAGGTTGTGATAAGAGTATTCTTTGATCTATGCACTTTCTTTTACACAATTTATTTTTTGGATGTCCTACCATGGCTTATCGAAGACCTTTTTGCCAAATATGAATAATCATCAATAAATATAAAAAAGCCAATTCCCACAATACCACAATAGAAACAGTACTCAAATTTATGCCGGTTGAAAAATGTCCACTTCCGTGTTAACAATCTGTGTTAACTATTTTTAATGTTAGAACAGGTGAGGACATTTGTAACTTGAATGTGTGAGGGTTCAGGTCTCATTCGCTTCCAGTTATTTTAACTGTACAAAAACAGTGTGCTATGCTTGATATTGCAAACTGGTATTTCTTATCATATTATTTTCATTTATTATTGTAATCATGAACACATTGCTTTGTAGCACAAGTAATTTTACCGTTTACTGCATTTTGCTATTCTTCTTGTTATTTACCTAATCCAGTAAATTAATCTGAAGTTTCGCGCATTCATAGAAAATAGCTTACTTCCGCATTACAAAATTAGGTGGATATTGCCCACTGAATTGATTGCTGTTTCATGTTGCCTTTAAAAATGTAGCTGTATTGAATTTAAGTCACACTGACATAAGGTAAATTACTGCTTTTATGTTATTACAGTGTAATTCAACATGCAATAATAACCATTTTGAAAATACACAAGCTTTTCATTCATTAGTGACGGGCCTAGTGGGAGGTCTCATTATCTTTTTACACTGTAACAGATTTGAAATTGTCCTTATTTGTAGACTATACCGAGAAACCATTTAGAGAGTTCCTGAAGAACAAGAAGCTCACTGAGAACCTGCAAGACTTCGTCCTGCACTCCATCGCTATGGTGACGCAGCAGACCCTTACGGAGGAAGGACTAAAGGCCACGCAGCACTTCCTGCGATGCTTGGGTCGCTACGGCAACACTCCCTTCCTGTTCCCTCTGTACGGCCTGGGAGAAATCCCACAATGCTTTTGCAGGTAAACTATACAGGATAATGTTACAGAATAGAGCAGATGACTCTGTCAGGTCATTTCACAAACTAAAACCATAAAAACATTTTACTTGAAATAAAATAAAATATATAAAAAAAAATCTAACTCAAAAATTATGACATTTGGGCAAAAACGAATGTGGAACTCGGACAGAAAACATGATATATACCCCTTAATATTCAACTCTATGATCTTTACAAATCACATACTCTCAGCTCTGAGGGGGAAGGGAGGAAGCAGGCCGTTAGGAGGAGGGTCAGAGCTCTGCAGGACCGTGAGTGTTTGCTTTTAGCACTTTGAGTCTGCTGGGAGTAGTGCTGTGAAATGGTGGCACTTGGAGACGAGCAGTCTTCAGCCGCGTGCCGCTGAGAGGAATCATCATCACAGAAACCATGAGCTGGCGTCAGGCCAGGTTACAGAGAACATCTCCCCAAAGGCGAGCAGAGCAGTCGAGTGTTTATCTAAAATGCACATATGACTCCAATCTCTGCTTTGAGCTCTGCTCTTAGAAAAAAGTCTGTTTATGTCAATAAGGTTATATAGCTGATTTGCTGAAATAGATCAGGCCAATAATATCAGAGCAATTGCCAAATGTCGCTTACAATGTAAACGTGTCAGATAGACATCAATATTTCATATTAGTCTTATTAAATTTGCGTTTGTGTCGTCTGAAGTTTCTGAACAGTTTTTGCTGTTATGTAATCATGTTCTGTAATACGATTTTATCATAATTCCACATAAAGGCAACTTAACCCTCCACCTCAAAATTTAAGCTTGGCGTGTCTCATCTGAGAGATCTGCGAATTTTAATGCGCCTCGTCTGTGAGGCAGATTAATTAGCATTTTTGATTTCCATAGTTTTCCACTAATCACCCTTGCTGACATTCAGATAAGCATGCTAGCGCACTGAGGCATGAACCCACCTGCAAGCTGTCCGTCATCTGCGGAGGCAACGCAAGAAACAGTTGTCGCCGCTGACTTTATTTTTCTCCGTAACTTCACTTTAAAATTGAGCTCTGAGAATCTTCTTTTTAATGGTCAATGATGGTTTACAAAATGGATGTTGTAAAATGCATCTCAAAAAAAGGGGAAAGACCATGTTTGTTAAATAAATAAAGAAATAGTTCACCTACAAATGCCAATGTAATCGCCCTCATGTCATTCCATACCTGTATGACTTTCTTCCGTAGAACACGAACAAAAGGAGACATTTTGAAGAATGCCCTGGTTGCTCTTTTCCATATAGAGAAAGTTATTTGGGTCATCAAGCACAAATGACATGAAAGCATAGCCTAGAAAACATGGCAGATAACAACAAAGCTATTTGCATGGCTTCAGAAGACTTGGAATACAGTGTGCAATATTGACCTAGGGTCCCTGTGGGTCCTAAAAAGTCTTAAAATATCTTAAATTCAGTTTTATCAAATTTAAGGTCATAAAAAGTCTTAATTATTGTTTTAAGAGGTCTTAAATATGGGGAGGGATATACAAAAAGCATGATGTGGTCTAATGTGATTGTTAAACTGATGCATCTTTTCATTTTTGGTATCTTGGTCACACAATATTCTGTTTGGCATTTAATTCAGCTCAGGAAAGGAAGGAAAGACTAAGAACATTATTTAAATAGATTTTACTAGTATTGGCACAATAACCTAGTTATTGCTTTTCTTTAAACACATTATTATCACCAAAATCCAATATCAGTTGACCTCAAATTCAAATATATTGGTATATAGTACACAAACCAATTTAATTATTTATGTATATACTGAATAAAACATGTCTTGAGTATTTTAAATTTGCAGTTACCCTGTTTTGCTGCCTGTTTAATCTGAGTTACATTATTTATTTTGAGATTATATAGGCTTGTTCTGTAGGGACATACAGCATTGGTATTATTTGTTAAAGGTCTTAAAAAGTCTTAAATTGTATTTGAAAACTTCTTCAGATACCCTGGGACCTTTTTTAAAAATAAATAATTACTTGCATAAAAAAAAGCTTCTTTAAATGGAAAAGAGTAGCTTGGAATTCTTCAAAATATCTCCATTTATGTTCTACAGAAGAAGGAAAGTCAAACAGGTTTGGAACAAGATAAGGATGATTAAATTGCGTTTTTGTGTGAACTATTCCTTTAAAGTCACTACGAAACTGAAGTACCCTGAAAAAAAAAATTGGTGTACAAACAATTTTCACTCAGAAATTGATTTCAATTTCACAGTTGATTACAAAATTTATACCGACTTATACACTGCCATTTGCCAACGTGAGTTACGTACACAGTTACAGAATGTCAGAGCAGACAGGTGAGTCTACTAGAGAATTAAAAGGCTTAAATGAAGAACTTCAGAGAGAAGTGACAGGAGGAAAAAGAGATCAAAGAGTGGGGGAGAAGAGGAAAGAGACGGACCTCAGAGGGGACAAAAGCGAGGGATTGAGAGACAAAAGTCAGAAGGCGAGAGCAAGCGAGGGAGGCGGGTTCATTCATCACGCTGATACCTGCTTGCAGGTGATAGATGGATAGATGGAGGTGCAAACTCAATAATGCTCACTCTCTCGGTTATTCACAGATCAGCGAGCAGCTCCGCTAATATAGTGATGAAATGCTTTACCGTCCTCACCCGCATTATCCCTCAAGTTTTGACAGCAGAGACTTTTTAATTTCTAAATAACCTTTGGCACTCTGACTGCCATCTTCTGTCTTCCGCGCTCCGTTCCGGTTCCCCCATCTCAGTCGCTGGGATGTTTTTTGGAGCTGGCATGATCCATTCAGCCCGGTAAACACATTTGGCCGTGACAGGTTATGATTTGCACCTGCGATCACGGTGCTCCAATCAGACAACAGTCAAACAGAAACAGATTGAGAGGACGGGGAAATGCATTAATTAGAGCCGATGATTGTCTTCGCAGCATTCCCTCATACGTGGCGTTTCCTCTCCGTCATTCGTTTTCCTCCCCCTTTACCGTGTGTTCTCGTGGAGCAATAAACATTTAATTTATTCAGATCCAAACAGGATTTAATTTTCGCAGAGAAAGGCCTGCCAGCCAACATGGCGCTTTGTTTTCTTTTAATTATTGGCCAACCATTAGCCCCCCACTCGGCTTCCAGCACCCTAGATTACAAGCGAATTTGCAGGCAATGAACCTGACCGGTAAGTGGTCTTTGCTGTGTGGGGTAATTTTGTTTGTTTAGCATCTCCTGCACGGTAAGGGGATTTATTGTCGACGCACACAGAACACTAATAAAACGTTTGGGGGGCCTCCCATGGGCACTACTTTTTTTCCCCCTCCCAAACCTGGTTTGGCTTTTGAGGAGGAGCAGCATGTCCAAATGTGGCATCAGGTTTTTTGTTGTTGTTGTGTTGTGTTGCTTTAACGAATTTGCAGGCAATGAACCTGACCGGTAAGTGGTCTTTGCTGTGTGGGGTAATTTTGTTTGTTTAGCATCTCCTGCACGGTAAGGGGATTTATTGTCGACGCACACAGAACACTAATAAAACGTTTGGGGGGCCTCCCATGGGCACTACTTTTTTTCCCCCTCCCAAACCTGGTTTGGCTTTTGAGGAGGAGCAGCATGTCCAAATGTGGCATCAGATTTTGTTGTTGTTGTTGTGTTGTGTTGCTTTAATCAAGTGAGTCAAGCTTTTCTTCCTTTTGTTTAATAGACTGAAATCTAACAGGTCACAAGGGATGCATTCAAGATTTTTTAGATTAATGGCTTCAATTCCGGCCCATTATTGACTATCTGCTGGGAAATTGCGCAAAATGTTTTGCTCTTTTGTTTAAAGAGGGTGAGCTGTAATTTTTGGGTTCTCATCAAACAAACAAAAATAGTAGAAAGGCCCTTTTATTTATTTAGTTTTTGTAACTTCATTTCAATTTATTTTTTATTTACAATGGCATGAATAAGTATGTGAACCCATTGGAATTTGATGGTTTTTTGCATTTGAATTGGTCATAAAATGTCATCGTTTATCATGTACAGTAGGGCTGAACGATTCTGGAAAATAATCTAATTGGGTTTTTTTTTTTTTTTACCAATATTGCAATTGCGATTTAATATGCATAGCATAGAGAGAATAACTGTTATTTTTATTATTCTCTCTGTTATTTAATTTTTTTGTGGGTTTCATGCTGTCCACTAAGGCATAGGACACACACAGGCTTTCCTCCTCACCAACGACATTAAACACCGTGTGTCTACACTGGAAGCGAGCGGCAAAATACAGTCAAAGAGTATAGACAGAGGCGGACAAAGTACTCAACTCCATTACTTGAGTGAAAGTACAGATACTGCTGGTCAAATATTACTCCATTAC